TAGGCAACTTCAATAAGTAAGTTTACTAACTTCTAGATCAATATGGTTATTAGGAGTGGAATAGAACTCGTGGAAATTTAATATAGAAATACAGATTTATTTTTATTTTTTGAACATAGATACCTTTTTTAAAGGCTCTAGTGAAGAAAAAAAAATGGAAAAAAGTATCTTCCCGATCTACTGAGCTGACCTTTGACAGTTTCATTGTCACAGGTCGGCTCAGATTATGAGGCTGAGTGATTTTCACTCACCTCATAATTCTCCTTTAAATCTAGAAGGAAATTGCACCTTTTGAGTTTGAGGGAGGAACAGATAGATCTTTAGGCAACGCAGAGAATCCCAATAATAGTATATACTAAGCACTGCATACTTGTTTTATACTGCTAATCTTTGTACATGTTTTGATGCATAATTGACCCAATGTTTGGAAAATACTTGTTAAAAGAAGACTTGATCAGTGGAAGCTGTGCCTAGAAAAGGCTAAAAGAGGGCAAAGGACTAGTCACCAGTATTGCAGTTGACCTTTTCCCTCTCACTGGCTTACTTGCCTTGTTTTGTGCTGTGTCTATGTGGCGGTCATCAACTTGGTAAACAAGCAGGGCTTTGCATCCTCATATCAGAGCTGCCCCTCCTGATGACTGGTGGAGACAGCAGGAGACATGGAGGAAACATATGTACAGAATGAATGAAGTAGGAAGATCCTTGCACTGCAGGTCCTCAGTTACAGCTTTCGCTCCAGCAAAGAGAACAGTGAGCAGCACAGTAGTAACATCACCAAATCGCATTCCAGATCTGCTGAGACTAGCAGTCAGAGGTCAGCAGTGTCTTAGAAGATCTCACACTGCAGATATACAGCTATGAGGCTACACTTACAAGAGTGCCTAGGTTAACAGGAAATGCACTGCTATTTGTCAGAAGGTGTTCAAAACAAAAGATGAATCCCAGGGGCGTCCTAAGGTGGGGGTGACATCAGGAGCAGGTACCGGGTGATATCCCGCCGTGATGTCATCGTCACACGTGGTTACCTGCCGGCGCCCATCTTGGCAATGGATGCCGCCAGAGAGAGAGGGGACGTTCACTCGGCAGGATAAGGTATGCCTCTGTCCAACACATAGTGCACAACTTTTCTGAGGGAGTGACACCAAAATGACTGTCAGTCATTTTGTTGTCACCTGGGTTCAGGCCGCACCCCCCTAGTGATGTCACTGGTAAATACATCCGGTTACTGCTTAGGCAGATTAACATTTGTTCTCTAAAGGACATCACATCTTCACTTTGAGAATTCAGGCCCACTTTAACTAACCATGTTTCTCAGACTTGATAGCATTATGATTCAATGAGTCATTTGTTCTCATCAAACCCCCCCCAGAAACGATTTTGGCATCTGAGAAGCCACATGCTCCCATTTATTGTTCTGTAAGTTCGCAGAAATCCCCATGGAAAGCTAGTGAGTCATTTATTAGGTTTTCATCTGTAGCCTTAGCAAAGTGCAAGCACTGCAACACATAAGTCATAGGACCAACTCGGTAGCTTGCCATGCAGACAGGCCACTTGCTGTGCCACTGATCCTTGTGCCAGTTTTGTGATTCACAGACCTCTGATATGTTGCATGCCCAGGCAGGTGATACTACTTCCAATGTCACATCTCTCCCTTCAGCCAGCTCTCTGGAGCACAGATCATAAATAACGGTCCAATCAACAGGTTTGTTACACAGAACCTGCAGGAGGAAATAGTGGTGTCACTTGACTGACTGAGCAGTGAATCACAAGTGTGGCTGAACAGAATTTCCAGTCCTGTGGCAGGTAAAACAGTTTTACATATTTCAGTTGTGTGTTTAGGCGCTTGTCTTCTGTTCCGGTTTAATTATTAATAGATGAAAACTGTTGATTGGTGAAACTGTTTTAAAAATCACTTGATGGCCTTTTCACCAGAAATTCTTAAAAGGGTGTTGAGATGCCTAATGGTGGATATAAAAGCAGGCTTTTCTGGTTTCTTAATCCTCTAACCCAGCCTTTCTTAACCAGGGTGCCTCCTGGCTTCCTGAGGGATGCATCAACATTTTTGCCAGCACCATGGAAACGAATTATGCTAATCCAGTGAGTATGGGGTCCATTCTGAAAGCGATGGTAGTTTGCCTCCATCCAGGCCTGCTCCAACTTTTGCCATGCTGCCGCAGCTCTTGTGGCGGTGAGAACGAGGACTCTGATGTGAAGGGGGCTTCTAATATGAAGGAGGCTGATGCTGTGAAAGGGGATCCTGATGTGAAGTGGGCTCCTGATGTAAAAGGGGGGGGGGGAGCTCTGATGCAGAATGTGGCTCTGTTGTGAAGGGGGGCGCCTTTGGGTAGCCAAAGGGGGAGTCTAATGTTAAGGGAGCACCCCATGGTCTTTTGTGTGTTTTTGCATGGAGTCCCCCCTTTAAAGCCCATACCAGACCCCTATTTGGGATAAGGGTCTGGTATGGATTTTGGAGGAGCCACATGTCGTTTTTTTTCAATTTAGACTGGGGTGCCTCAAGATTTTGCAAGCTTTTAAAAGGTGCCATGACTGAAAAACAGGTTGAGAAATGTTGATCTAGCCCTCCAGACACTTTTAAAACCATTTTTGTTGTAGTACAGTTTCAAAGTGGTAAGTGTCCTGGTAAGAGTAGCTAGTGCTTCAATAGAGTTAAAGGGTATCTATGGTCAAAAACTATATTATCTGTATTTCTATATTGAACTTTCATAAGTTCTATCCCACTCCCAATAACCATATCCATCATTCTAGAAGTTTGTAAACGTACTTATTAAATATGCCCATAGGATGAACTTCCTCAATGCACTGACACCATTTCACTCAGCCCTGTGTATATGCACTTATTGGTGTCACCACTCTAACGCACCCTGCCATCTGGACTACAACTCAACATCTGAACTTCCACCAATGGAACAATCTAGGACAACATAGCTGAACTGGGAAGTGAGCTGAATTAGAGGATATTTTCAAATCTGCTATGTTGTCCTACATTGTTCACGTCTCCGGCCTTCTCCAAACTCTTCACTCTTTTGTGAATAACCTTGTTAGTGTTTTGCAAAATGAAACAATATGCGAAAATAGTGAAAGTAAGAGAGCAAACTAGGCGTTATGCTCACTCTGCCACATTAATGTATTTTATTTCCTTTCTTTTTTTTTTGGTTCCTTTTTTAGCCACCTCACCTATAAGGTATCTAGTTTTTCCATTTGTGTTGGTACATAAGTCCTACTCTATAGAAGCTATGGTTTCCATACATTGCTTTGATGGTGGCCCACTAGCTTGGAACAGTTGTATGCAGTTTGGAATAGATCGCTCTATAATATTAGGCTGCATCTGTACTGTAAACCAGCAGTTCTGGATGTACATTTGGCCAAAGGCGCATAAACGAAAGACTTCCATGGTTTCTCCCACTATCCTGAAATGAAGAATAAACCCCTAATGTTTTGGACCTCTAATGGAAGCGAGACCGCAAATACCTTCTGTTTTCAGAAAGCTCTAAGGTGTGTTTTAATAAAGAGTTTTGGTTCCTTATAGCTCACTAGAAGGTATCTAGTTGCTCCATTGTGTTGGTCCATACACCCTACTCAATAGAAGTCATGGAGATGATGAAAATGGCTCTATAATATTAGGCTGCTCTAGGGCGTTTCTCACTAATTAAGTGGTGGGGCTTATGGTTCCTTGTAACCCACCTCACCATAAGGTGTCTAAATGTCCAGTGATAACAAAATGACATTATTAGTACACAGAAATAAAACATTTTTTTTTTCACAAGGTTGATTCTCATTTTCAATGCCGTTGGAACACACCAAATGAGTGAAAACCTGATGAATGTGCCCTTGGCTTGCTCCTCCTGAGCGGTCTTCAACATAACTTTTGCTTTAAAGCTTGTATAGATTGGGTGGTGGGGGTGATGTACTTCCTATCTCCTGTGACCACTTCTGAAGAGAATACTTATTTCTCCTTCTTGCCTGTAGCCTCACAATCCTCAGTAACCAGAACTGTTAAATCGTGCCCGTTCATGAACATCAGTTATGGCTCATGGGCTTAAATGGAGACAAGCTTTGAAGTCTTTATACAACTTGGTATCGCTGTGTTGGTAATTTCTTAAAGCGGTCATCTGACTACTTTCTTTTCTAGAGATCTTCATTCTGTAAGCATGTACACTGGTGCTATGATGAAGAGAAAGAGAACATAGTAAAGGGTAGATATCAGATGGATGCTCTCTGACTGCTGGTGGGTTCCTGAGCACAAATGGTCATCTCAGTTCTTGTGTAGCCAATGTAGATCCAAGGGGATAAACATTTCTATACTATGCTGGATTGAGCAAAGAGTTTGTGGAAGTGTCTTTTGTCCTTATTCCCAAGTATTCTGGGTATGTATGAGAGCATAAAAAATAAAGATTGGAGGGTATAGGAGTTCCTAGCCAAGCAGAGGGGTCACTATATATAAACAGTGGGTATGAACATTCATAGATAAACATTGTGCCAGATGAACAGAACAAAGGTTATTTTAAAACTAAATGCTATCCTAAACGCAAGAACAAGAATGTAATATATTGCAGCTTACCAGCCCTTGGATGTGGTGGCTACATTTTTTTTTTTTTTTTTTGCAAGAACAGAAAAATACCTAAAATATAAAATACCTGCTGATTCTGCTGTCCTTGTAAAATCTCAAACAATGTTATCTCTGTGAACTACGTTACAGTACAAACCCCCAGCTGCATTATATAAAATGTTTGTTCTTGGGTTTAGATATGCTTTTATATAGTGGC